TATAGACTAGACTATAGACTAGACTATAGACTAGACTATAGACTAGACTATAGACTAGACTATAGACTAGACTATAGACTAGACTATAGACTAGACTATAGACTAGACTATAGACTATAGACTAGACTATAGACTAGACTATAGACTAGACTATAGACTAGACTATAGACTAGACTATAGAATAGACTATAGACTAGACTATAGACTAGACTATAGACTAGACTATAGACTAGACTATAGACTAGACTATAGACTAGACTATAGACTAGACTATAGACTAGACTATAGACTAGACTATAGACTAGACTATAGACTATACTATAGACTAGACTATAGACTAGACTATAGACTAGACTATAGACTAGACTATAGACTAGACTATAGACTAGACTATAGACAGACATAGACTAGACTATAGACTAGACTATAGACTAGACTATAGACTAGACTATAGACTAGACTATAGACTAGACTATAGACTAGACTATAGACTAGACTATAGACTAGACTATAGACTAGACTATAGACTAGACTATAGACTAGACTATAGACTAGACTATAGACTAGACTATAGACTAGACTATAGACTAGACTATAGACTAGACTATAGACTAGACTATAGACTAGACTATAGACTAGACTATAGACTAGACTATAGACTAGACTATAGACTAGACTATAGACTAGACTATAGACTAGACTATAGACTAGACTATAGACTAGACTATAGACTAGACTATAGACTAGACTATAGACTAGACTATAGACTAGACTATAGACTAGACTATAGACTAGACTATAGACTAGACTATAGACTAGACTATAGACTAGACTATAGACTAGACTATAGACTAGACTATAGACTAGACTATAGACTAGACTATAGACTAGACTATAGACTAGACTATAGACTAGACTATAGACTAGACTATAGACTAGACTATAGACTAGACTATAGACTAGACTATAGACTAGACTATAGACTAGACTATAGACTAGACTATAGACTAGACTATAGACTAGACTATAGACTAGACTATAGACTAGACTATAGACTAGACTATAGACTAGACTATAGAGTAGACTATAACCTGGACTATAGTCCAGACTAGACTATAAACTTGACTATAGTCAAAAATATTAATTAGATTATAATCAAGACTATAGACTAGACTATAAACTGGACTATAGTCCATACGATAGACTTGTCTATAGCCAAGATTTTAGTCAAGACTATAGCCAAGACTAGAGAGTATAAAATAGACTATAGTCAAGACTACACGACCTGAATGACTGAATATACTCCTACACATGATGCTTTTTTATGAATTTTAGATTCAGAAACCTGACTACAATTATTGACCTATTAAACTTCCCTAAAAATAGTTCAAATTATGCAATATATTTTTTCATATATAGTTTTTTCTTTATTGTAATATATAATTATAGATATAATAACTGAGCTATGAGTAAATAATGTCATTACAGAAATTGTCTTTTATTATTATTAAACAAGGAAAAAAAAAAAACTAAAAATAAAATTATGAATAAAATAATAACCAAACGTTAAATGAGGCGGAGTTTTAAAATTAATAACATTAAAAAAAAAAACAAAAAAAGAACAGAATACTATGACAAGTTTTAACAAAAATACAGAAGAAATTCTTCGTTTAACATAAAATCATTTAGAAACAAAACGTTTAGAGACATTTTCAAAGGTCAAATACAACAAAACAATTTTGCTAAAGAGTTCCGATCGTGATCTATTCATTTAAACAGATTGTGCGCAAAATAGCCTCAACTACCGAGTAGGGATCACAGTTAGAGCTAGGACGACGATCTTCAAAGTAGCCTTTGCCCTCATCGTTGACACCACGTGGTATGCGTATGGAACAGCCACGATTGGCTACACCAGCACTAAAGTCGTTAATGGAGCTGGTCTCATGATGGCCAGTCAAACGACGAGCATTATCTTGACCCTGTTTGGGATCATAGGCACGAATGTGACGATCATGATGTTTAGACATTTTGGCAACAGCCTTTTCGATTTCCTTAATGCCACCATCTTCACGCATGGTCTTGGTGGAAATGTTGGTGTGGGCACCAGCACCGTTCCAATCACCAGGCACGGGTTTGGGATCTAAAGTAGCTACAATCTGTAAAAAAGATTTTCAAATTAGTTTTGTTTATTATTTAACTTAAGATAAAGTTAAACTTACTCCAAATTCTTCAGCTATGCGATGTAACAAAAATCTAGACATCCATAAATCATCACCCACTGAAATTGCCTACACAGGGTCCTACCTGATATTCCCATTGGGCTGGCATGACCTCAGCATTAGTGCCGGAAATTTTGATGCCAGCGTATAAACAAGCTCTATAATGAGCATCCACTACATCACGGGCATAAACCTAAAAGTGACAAGATTTTGTTAACATTCCTTTTTATAGAATTATATCTTTAGAAAATATTACCTTATTAGCACCCCACACCACAATAGTAGGGTCCTTGGGTCCAGGGAAACCATTCTTGGGCCAACCTAATGGATGACCATCAAAATCAAGGAATGTGTATTCTTGTTCAATACCCAAACCAGGGTTCTTCATCCAAACATTTGTTAACAACTTCTAGACAAGTTTTACGATGATTTGTATCGGTGGGAGTGCCATCAAATTTATAGGTATCACACATAACCAAAATATTATTGCCACGACGGAAGGGATCGCGATAAATGGCTACGGGATGTAAATAGGTATCAGAATTGGATTCCCTTAGCCTGATAACAAGAACTGCCATCATAATTCCAAATGGGTAGATCTAAAAAGAGAAATTTAAGAAAAATTATGAAAATTTTTGTCACTTGTCAACTTTCAAAAACTTTTTGCGCTTTATCCAGAAGCTAAATTCCTAACATTCATATAAATCTGTCTATCAATCTATAAATTGTTGTATTATTTTCCCTATTTAAGAAAATTACTACTCAGTTTAAACCACAAAATATGTTTTTTCTTATGTTCTAAATGAAATTATACATTTAATCTCTATATTAACTAAGTATTAAATAACACTAAATATGTCAATCATTTTGGCGCAAAATTATTCAAATTGAATTGTTTTCAAATGCCAATAATTATATTTATTATAATACGTTTTAATTTAAAACGCTATTGTTATTATTAAATAATAACAATAACAAAAAATAATAGATAAACATTTTGATATTTAAGATGAAAACATGATATCGAAAATACTATATAGTTTGAGAGAAAGGAAACGTGTTTAGAAAGATCGATTTCAAAATAGATAATTACTATATAATAGACATGAAAAAAACATTTTAAGTTCATGTCTATTTTAATTTAGCGAAAATAATGGGTTGAATGAAAATAAAAATAGACTTAACACGAAGCTTAAATTAAGAATATTATACTTCATACTGTTGATAACCGATCCAAAATGATTAATAAAATCTAATTCCCGATCCAACGTTCGGTTTCAGCAAATTTTAAATCACCAAGAGTTTAAATAATGCTAAAAAGTGAAAGTCTAAGATCTAAAGCGGAGGAGGTAAAGAGACCGTTTCAATATTGTCTATTAGTGCAGTTTTATTGATATTGAAAATGGAAACATAGCCCCCATAGGCTTAAAAAGTACTAGTAGAATTAATAGAACCCTGCCCCTTACCCTCTACAGAAAACTATTTTATTGTCATTAAATATAATTAATATTATGAATTTTATCAAATTCAAATTTTCAGTTTCATTAAAATCAACATTTCACGTGAAATATGTTCCCTTTCACTTTCTTCGTTCACGAACTTTTTTGAAGTAAAAAAAATCTCCTGTTGTGAAATTTGTTGATGGCATTTTGTAAACAACGAACAGCTGTTGCATACAAAATCAACTATTGTGAATGAATTGTTTATTCTGATTAAAAATATAAATGTTTTCATTACTTTTTAATTAACTGAATAATTGTTTATTAAACAAACCACTGCCTTTTTCACACACCCTTTTCAAATTCATTAATAATTACTAGACGACTTTATAATAACAAAACAATGACTACAACAACTATATACGACCACAACTGATCCATTTTGCAAAAAAAAGTATTTTATAAATAATATTTAACTATTAAAACTAAAGTAAATTTGAAGGTCAACAAGGTTACAAGATTTAAAAAAGAAAAACGTTTATTTTACCAGCTATGGGAAGAAAATTAGAAAATAGATTTTTATTACACTTTTAAGAAAATATTCAAAATAAATAATCCATCAATATCAATCAAAGAAATTTTTTAATGGAAAACAAAGTGAACAGAGAAATCAATATTCGATCTTATGCAAATCGAAATAATTTTGAGCCGAATAGTGTTTTTGAGGTAATACTCTTCTCCATTTTATGTCTATCTCTTGATATCTTAACTTTCTTAGAAGTTAAGAAACAATTCTTTTGAAGTTCCGCTTAATATACGACAGATTTTGATGCTTACTTTATTTTTGTATAAATAAATAAAAAAATAAATTTATTGTTAAATTTTGTTTGAAATATTCTAGGGTTTTGCATATTCAAATATATAGTAGTGTAATAATTTATTAAAATATTCACGTTTTTGATGCAACAAGTAATTTGTAATTTTATACTTATTCACTGCAAACAACACAAATAGACAAACATAAATATAAAAGGGTGCAGCGAAAAGAGTTAATAGAAATACTAAAAACTTTTATTTATATTACAATTTAAATAGTATGTATATTAGGATAATCATCTTTACCACTAAATTTTGTAGTTTTGGTTTTGGAGGGTTTATTGAAACACCCTGTATGCCAATGTATGCAAATATAATAAAATATTTATTAATACATATATGCATTTTCTTATTATAACTTATTATTATTGTAATATTTTAATATTTTTCATTGTTAAAACAAATGCCGGCTAATTTGCAAAAAAAAGGACTCACTTTTTTTCGCTGTAAACAATAGTATTTAATTCCATGTGACAGCAATTAATAACACTAATTTAGTGAATAGAAAATTTAAATATTTTTTGTATAAAAATTGATATTATTTAAAAGAAACAGCTGTTTTCACGGTAAACAATTTGTTAGCAATCATGAAAAAATTAAAAGCTTTTCATGGTTCCTTTACTCTTAATCCGTATTCGTAAGTAATCCGTTTCAAACTTTTACGTTAAGTACGATCGTTCTTAAACCAAGTACCAAATACTTGATTCAAGTACGGATCGTTTAAGTACGAAAAAACCATAATTTAAGCCTTTCTTTGGACAAAATTATCTTACAATGTACTTATTTAGAGAATTTTCGGTTTGATTTACGTCAAATACATACTTGATTTGAGATAAAAATAGGATTGATTTAAGAATACCAAAGATTGAATTAATCACAAAGTGAGCTTGATTTAAGCTCGATTCATACTTGATTTTAGAACATTCACAATTGTGCATTGATAACTTTTTCATTTGCAAAAGTGGACAAGTTATTTTTTTAGGAAATTTCAAAAGAAAAATTTTGAATAGTTTTTAAATAAACAAATTGTCTAAAAAAATTATGAAATAATGAAATTAAATTTAAAAATATTATTTAAAAACTGTGTAATTTTTTTTAATTTTACAATTAAAATAAAAAAATTTCAAAAGTTTGTCAAAGTAAAATTTCCGTAAATAGCTCAACTACGTAATATTGTTTATATTTTTTTGTTCTACTAAATTTAAGTAAAAGCAACAATTACTGATCATAATGGCTTTATGCCAAAAGAAAACTAATCACAAAAGAAAAAAAAATACTATAATATAAACTACTTCCTTTAAACAAAGTAAAATGCAATTAATAGAAAGAAAGTGTTAAGAGATGTTATTTTCTAAAAAAATCATACTTTTTGAAAATTTTTTAAATGTTGCAGAACTAGTTGTGTGGTGAGTTTTCTGGAAGAAGCAACCAATTCTAGTTCTAACATTTTTATCTTTATTATCGATCACGAATATTCCAAGAACTTTTCATTCACAATAAATGATTTTGTTCGTAGCAACTGGATATTGTTTAAATTTTCAAACACTTCTTTCTCTTTTTGTTACACCAGAGCGAAATTTTCTCTATCGTGAATGTTCCGAGAACTGTTCTTTTTCAATAAATGATTTTGTTCGTAACAACTGTGTATTGTTTGGATATAATATAAATGGCACCGAATTAGTTTTGTGGCGAGTTTTCTGGGAGTATCAATTCTAGTTCTAACACTTTTATCTCTATCGTAATTAAATAGCGATAATTTTATTTCTTTCTCTTTTAGTCTTTAAACTAGTCTTGCTCTAGTCTTTAAACTAGAGCAACAATTATATATCACGAATGTTCCAAGAACTGTTCATTCACAATAAATGATTTTGTTGATAACAGCTGGGTATTGTCTGAAATTTCGAACATTCTATTTCTTTCTCTTTTTGTTACACTAGACCAAAAATTTCTCTATCGGGAATGTTCCAAAAACTGTTTAATTTTTCGAAATTTTGTTAAAAATTCTCATGATCTAGAGATAATTTTAATAAATTTAAAGATATTTAGATCATTACTTTTCGAATAAAATATTGTCTGTACATATAATAAAGAACGTCAAAAACTATTAACGATCGGTTATAGTAATAACACTTTCATCTTTATTGTGATCAAATTGCATTCATTCTATTCTCTTCCCCTTTTTATAAATAAAATAAAAGTGACCTATCACGAATGTTCCATTTAAAATACACGATTATTTTCGTAACAATTGGGTATTGTTTGAATTTTCGAAATTTTGTTTTAATAATATTCATTATCTAGAGATTATTCGAAAACCGTTACACTAAAACTATAAGTGATCGATTCTAGTTTTAATGCTTTCATCTTTATTGTGATTAAATGACGTTTATTCATTGAATTCTCTTTCCAATTTTGTTAAAACAATGTAAAAGTTTCCTATCACGAATGTTCCATGATGATTCAAAGTAAATAATTTTTTTTTTCGCAACAACTGGGTACTCTTCAAATTTTCATAAAATTGTTTAAGAGTAAATCGTGAGTAAATAGGAAACATTATATTCACTTAAGTTTTAGGTTAGACTATAGCAACACTTTACTATCGCGAATATACCGTGAACTGTTCATTCACAATAGTTGATTGTGTTTGTAACAGTTGTGAATTGTTTATAAAATTTTACCAAAAAAAAAGGAATTACTACTCTTTTTCCATTACCCTGTAATCTCATTATTATTATTTTTAGTAAATAAAAATATATGTAAATTTTATTTTTGTAAATACAGTAACAATAACAACAATAAAAAAATTGTAATATTTCTTGTTTAGTGCTGACGACAATAGAAGAATCTCCATAGATTTATCTTAATTATAAAAAATTGTGCAAAATTAAAGAAAAACTAAATTATGTTCCTAATAAATTGGAATGTTTAAAACAATATTTATTGTAATTATAACACGCGAAATCGTAAGCATATTTTAGCACTTATTTATTTTTCTTTTCTTGAAAATGAACAAGAAAACAATTGAGATTTTTCAAGTGCAAATTAGCCAGTAAGTAATTTACGTTTTGTTTTAATTGTAATTCTTTTTTTTTTTTTTTTTGTAAATTTTTTTTGTCACCATCTGTTGTACAGCGAGACAATTGTTTATACTTTTGTTTAACTAATTTAAAAGTAAAATGTTTTTTATTCACACATATTTAGAGAAATGCCATGAATTGCAATTTTACGTTTGTAGTTGATCGCGTTTTTTGCATAATAATTTTGTAATTTTCAACCTGCCACTGCAACACCCCCTCTTGCTTTTGAAATTTATTGAAAAATTGTTTATAATTTATTAGGTTTAGAATTTGTTTGCATCCATATTTTAAACGTTTATATGTTTATAAATATTTCCGTGTGTTTTGTTGTCTCTTAGGAAATAATAATTATAAAATAATAATAAAGTGCAAATTTAAATTTCATTAAACTATACTATAAAAGCTTCTTTAAATGATTTGAGTTTTTTTAGTTTATTAACAAAAAAGCTGAAGTTAATTGTAAGTTAAACCAGTTAAGTATGAATGTATTCAAAATTAATCATTTAAACAAAAACCATTACAGGCTAAATGATTTTATTACCTAATAAAATAATTGTTTGTTAATTTGATGTAAACAATATATTATTAAAACAAATTACTTTATTCTTAAATCATTTTTCTCAATAACAAGAAAAAGTCCCAAGTTAAGTTTAACTTTAAATATTCGCAACTTTTACCAGAAAAGGTAGGTTAGGTTTAAAAGTACAAAAAGTGTAGTTTTTTAGAGTTAAAAGTACTAAAGTATTTTTCAATTTTTGATCAATTGATTAGTCTAAAAACTTTCCTTGACTATGGATTAGCATTATGGTCGAATATATGACTGGACTATAGACTTCATGCCTATTGATAAGCATATTAACTGATCTATTTATTAGTCTATGGACTAATCTATTGTATAGTCTATTCACTTGTCTATGGACTAGTCTATTGAGTAGTATATAGTTTACTTTATAGTCCTGTCTATATATTGCTCTATTGACTAGTTTAGCGATAAGCATAGGGACTAGTTTATTGACTGGTTTATAAACTAATGTATGGGTTAGTCTATTGACAAGACTGTGGACTAGACTATTGAATGGTATATAGACTAGTTTATATACTATTATATTGAGTAGTCAATGGGTTAGTCTGTTGACTAGTATATTTACTAGTATAAAGTCTACTTTATGGACTAGTCTACTGACTAGTTTAGGGTTCTAGGGATTATTATATTAAGTAGGCTTTTAGCTAGTTTATGGCTAATTTATGAACAAAAATATAGGATAGTCTATTGACTAGTATATAGTGTGGTTTATGAACTAGAAGATTGTCTACTCATTGGCTAATAGAGTGTCTAGTCTATTGACTAGTCTAGGGATTATTCTATTGAGTTTGCTTTTAAATAGTCTAAGAACTTATCTATAGACTAATCAATGATCTAAACTATTCGCTAGGTTATGGACTACTCTTCAGACTAATCTATGTGTTAGCCAATTGATTATTGTGTGGAATAGTCAACGGATTAGTATATTGACTATTATAAAAACTAGTCTATTGACTAATTTATAGGCTAGTATATGGACTAATCAATGGTCTGGTCTATGGACTAGTCTAGTCTATTTACTAGTATATAGTCTACTTTATGGATTAGTCTACTGATTAGTTTAGGAATTGGTCTTTTAAGTAGACTTTTAGCTAGTTTATGGGCTAAAATATGGGATAGTCTATTAACTAGACTATGGACTGGTCTATTGTACTATGGATTAGTATATTGACTAGTGGACTATTCTACGGATTACACTAGTCTATTGATTAGTATAAAGTCTAGTCTATTGACTAGTATATAGTCTAGTCTATGGATTAGGAGATTGTCTAATATATTGACTAGTAGACTATATACTTCTCAATATATTAAGTAGTAGGTCTATAGAGGGGTATATTGTCTAGTCAATTGACTAATATATAGTCTAGTCTATGGACTAGACTATTAGACTAGACTATTGACTTGGCTATGATCTAATCTATGGACTAGTCAATGTTCTACACTATTCACTAGGTTATAGACTACTCTACTGATCAATCTATGTGTTAGCCTATTGATTAGTGTATGTAATAGACAACGGATTAGTCTATTGGACTATATATGATGTACTAGTCAATTGACTAGCTTATAGTCTAGTTTGTGGACTTGTCTAGGGTTTAGTTTATTGAATTGGCTTTCAAATAGTCTATGGACAAGTCTATTGTCTAGTCTATGGACTGTACTATGTTATGTACTACTCTATTGACTAATCAGTGGGTTAGATTGAAAGAAATCGCTCTCAAATTCGAATTACTGTAAAATTTTTAAAAAATATTTTTAAAGTTGCTAATTGGAAAATGTAAGAAATCAGTCTTAAAAATATATTAGACATTTTATAAAATATTTTTATTTTTATAAATAAATTATCTTACATAAGTTTATCGGTTTAAATTCATTGGAAAACGCTGCTGGTTGTAATTAATAATTTATTTATTGTTTAACATGTGTTTATGGATTTCTAATTCTTTCTTGTCTACCGCTACTTAAAACCTAATTAATATTCAACAAAATAGAAATTTCCCCTTAGAATATAAAAATATTATTAGATAGAGTAATAAGATTAAGTTGTTAAAAGGGGAATGTAAGCCAAGAATGAAACATAAATGTATAAGCTCTAGAAGTTAAGAAATGCATTAAA